AGACTAAAATTGAAGGGGCTAAAAAACTGTGTACTCAAAAAAATTCTTACACTTCCGAGAAAAAAGTTTGAAATTTAGGTGAAAATTTGTTGCACTTTTTTGTAGTTTTCTACAAATTGTTACACTTGGGTTTATATGGGGTTTGTCTGAGAATGAACTGTATTTTAATTGAAAATTCTTAAAAATAAATAAATAAACATAAGTGGCACACAATATCACTATGAAATGGCGTGCTATAGATATGACTGATACTGTACATACATATATGGAAATATTCATGCATACACACATTTTTTTTACTAGAATTTAATGGGCTGCAAAACTGCATACTCAAAAAAATTAAAAAAAAATCTAATTAAAAAGTTGAAAATTTGTTCTTTACATACTTACGTATGTATAATGTAATTTAATATTTCACATGCTCAATTTAATTAAATTTCGCTTAAGTTGAATGTGTGTATGTTTATTATATTACAATTGCTCACCCGACCAAGTAACGTGTGTAAGCGAGTATTACGATAGTTTCTCTTACCCTCAAGCTCCGCCTCACCTGAGAGTCTCGTATTTCAAACGGAAGTTTGTATTTTTGCATTCTATCCTTTGAAGGCATAGAGAATGTATTTGTTTTATAATTTTTCACTAACGTTTTTCGGACAAAATATTCAAAAAAATATATGGAAGGAGGCATCGCTTTAATACAAATTTTGTAAGGATATTTCAAAACATAGAAAGTAAGTAAAAGTAATTTGAGCATAAATACTAAACACTAACCAATTAATCAAATTGAATAATTTAAGGAACCATGTAATAATTCGGAGTAAGTATTGAAACTTATTTGCAGGATAGATATATTAAACTAAAAAAATAACTATCCTTATCAAATAGCACCATTCAAAAATTCCGTAGGATCAGAACGGAGTTTGCAAAATCTATGAATATCAAGAAAAAAACAAAGTATGGAAAGTGATGTTCAACAGCAAGTAATTTTTAAGCAAAAAAATACCAGCGACTTCAATGCTCATACAAAAATTTTGGATTACCGTTAATTTCTTCATGACACGATGGTTAGTATGCGACCACCCTTGACGTACCGCCTTTCCTATAAAAAAATAATAATAGTCGAAAACGGTTCACGTGGTCCAAAGTTACCCAGTAATATATGTACTTAAAATAAAATAAAATATTCCGAAGAATTGATAAACTTACTCCTTTTTGAAGTCAGTTAATAATAAGTTTTAATTGCATATTATTACAACGCTTTTATCAACTTGCAATGTTGTGTGTCCAGACAG